CAGATTGTCATAGCAAAGTCGGAATTGACACCTTTTTTTTTTTTTTAAATAGCCTTTGTGCACAGCCAGCCTTGTACTCTTCTAGGTTCAAAAAACTTTGAGACTTTAGTCTTTGCAACTTTACAGATCTTCTTTATGCACCAAGAGCTTGTAACACTCCAAAGAGAAAGGAAAAATCATCATATGACCCCTTTAAAAAAAATTATGAAAAGTATCAATATCATGTTGATGAGTAATTCATATGAAAATGGAAATAAATAAAAACGACTTATTTTACTAATTTAATTTGAATCTGAAAGCCTACATCCTGTTTGTGGCATCAGTTTAAATCCAATTAAAATTGTGGGAACTGAATTGTAATTTAAGACTTTTTCTGTTCAGATCTGAACCTCTCAACCCTGCTAATGCAATGAGTGGATGAATGTCATCATAACAGATGGATGATAAAGATTGATTACCCTGTTCGTTGTGCACACTTTGTACTAGTGAAAGTGCGTTGATGCATGTAGCAAATAATGGCCTGTGAATTCTGACGTTCAGGCTGGAAGGGGAACCTGTGTCAGCGCTCTCTGGCTCTGTTTGTGAGTGTTGCTGTTCTGGTGCCCTGTGCAGTGCTGAGCGTCTACTACCTGCTGCTGCAGACCTTTGTGTTACGGCTGGAGTTTGTGCTCAATGCTGTGCTGCTCTGCTTCTACAGCTTTGAGCTGCTTCTGGGGCTCATGACCATCTCGGTTTTTTCAAGGTAACTGCTTCTGTATTTTCTGTTTTTCAGCATATTTAGCCCATAGTTATAAAGAGACATACACGTTATGAAAAGACATGAACATGGAATAGAATAAATATATGGAAGTGGAAATTTACTGAAGCAATTTTTGCAACATAATTCTCAAGGTATTAGGCCTTTTTAAAATACTAGATATTTACACTCAGCATTTTTTTCCATTCTCTTTCAGGGCCAACGTTTATTAATTCCATCTGCATTTCTGACGTCAGAATGAAAACACAACTGAATAAGCTTGCTCTCTTTCAAAGTGAGCGCTGTCAAGATTAGCCTTTTTTGAAATACATATAAGTTACATAAAACAGACATTTCATTTGTACAGTTTTTCAAACAAATATAATAAGTGCCTTTATTAAGTTGATCTTGAGATGTGTTTTAAACGCTATTTTCAGTGTACACGGAATTTTATAAATAATGCGTTCTTAATAGCAATGTAAATGTATTTATGTAAATAAAGTTTGCCATTACTAAATGGTAGAGTGAAACAATTGTCATCATATACTTACTACACAAACACGCACATACAAATGTTTTTGAAATGTAAACCTGTAATATTGTGAAATATTATTACAATTTAAAATAATAGTTTTCTGTTTTAATGTTTTAAAATGTAGTTTATTCCTGTGATCAAAACTGGATTTTCAGCATCTTTACTCCAGTCTTCAGTGTCACATGATCCTTCAGAAATCATTCTGATATGCTGATTTGCGACTAAAGAAACATTTCTGATTGTTATCCGATTATTTTTTGATGAATAGAAAGTAAAAAAGAACAGCATTCATATGAAATATATATTTTTTTGTAATATTACAAAAGTGTTTACAGTCACTTTTGATCAATTTAATGTATGCTTGCTGAATAAAAGTATTAGTTTCTTTCAAAATCGTACCAACCGCAAACTTTTGAAAGCTGCTTTATGTATTTGCTTTTCACGTACATAATACGGAAAGACAGGAATTTAGGTTTGCAGGTTTGCAACACTAAATTAGTGACAATTCAGACAAGCAGCAACCTCAATGTTTAAAGTAAAGTTCTTAATTTTCCAGATGGACTAACTGTGTCACCACGTGTTTATGCATACTGTGACTGCTGTCAGGTGAATGTCATAATCCTAATTACTGTTGGACACAGGATTATAAGCACACACAGACGCCTCTTTAAAACAATCTCCAGTAATCCCAAGTGTTTCTCACCGTCCTGCTGCCCAGGTGCATAGGACAACACAGAAGCTTTGGGCAACAAACCCTATATAGAAAACCCTTTCAAGTGTTACACTTCACTGACAGCTAAAAAAATGGCTGCAGTGGACAAGGATGTGGCTGAGAAGTTTTTGGACAGTAATCCAACTTTTGCCAAGCAGTACTATGACTCCAGGTTCCGGGCGAAGGTCATCTCCGACCTTCTAGCGACCACCAAGAAAACAGAAGTGGACATCAGCTCTTACCACGACTTGAGCTCTATTGAAGAGTGCGAGATCATTTTCGATATGGTGCGGGACATGCAGGAAAACCTGCAGATGGAGAGGGCCGTGTTCAACCTCATGCGGCATCTCACTTTCATTATGCGGGCCGACCGCATGAGTCTCTTCATGTACCGCCAGAGGAACGGCATAGCTGAACTGGCCACACGAATCTTCAACGTCCATAAAGATGCCACACTGGAGGAGTGTCTGGTGCCACCGGACAGTGAGATCGTGTACCCGCTGGACACAGGCATTGTGGGCCATGTGGCCACCGCCAAGAAGACCGTCAATGTACCTGATGTCAGACAGGTAGGAGAACTACACTGTAAAAAAAATTCCGTAAAATTTACGGTAAAAAACTGACAGCTGTGGTTACCGGAATTTTACCGTAAAAATTGTGGTAGCAACGTTTTAGGTTTTACGGTTTTAACTTAAATTTACAGTTAAATACCGTAATTTCATTAACTGATATAGTGTTAATATACCAACCTATTGAAGTACTGAAATCTGTTTTGTACCTCTGTGTAAAATTTACGGTAAAAAACCGACAGCTGTGGTTACCGGAATTTTACCGTAAAAATTGTGGTAGCAACGTTTTAGGTTTAACGGTTTTAACTTAAATTTACAGTTAAATACCGTAATTTCATTAACTGATATAGTGTTAATATACCAACCTATTGAAGTACTGAAATCTGTTTTGTACCTTTGTAATACACTGATAACCACCAAATGCAGGAGGTGATGAGAAAGTCACATGATGAACCAAAGCCCATCACAAGCAGCTTTTAAATATTAACACATATAGATGCACAGTGTCATTCACACAGACGCTAAACACCATCACGGTAACACACATGAAACTGAAATAATGCAATACACATTAATTTAACAACATTAGGTGTAACACACAATCCTAATATACAAAACTGCTAAGAAAAAACTAAGAAGAAACAGTTATTTCAACAAAAAAACATCACATTTGAAATGTAACGCAGGGAATTCTGGGAATGTCAATTTACGGTTATTCACTGTAAATTATACGGTCTTTTTCACTTCCAAAAACGGTATACTACCGTAAAATTAATGTCCAATACAGTTTTTCACCGTATATAGTAGGGGAATTTACCGTTAAACATTTAACAGGTTTTTACTGTAGCATTTTTACAGTCTTTTACTGTTAAATTCACAGTCATTTTTTACAGTGTAGCCATGATGAGGAACAGATAGTTCAGCTATCCAGTCCTGTGTCATGAAAATGAAGTGCAACTCACAATATGACCTGTAGAGAGCAGTGCGACGCTACTCGCATTTGATGATTCAAAGTTATTATAATCAGTCCAAAAAGACAGGCAGTGACGATTCAGAATATCCTTTTTATAAGCACAAGAGTTG